TCATGGTCTAACATAAAATATGCTAAAAAATTGTTATTTTTAAAATAATGTACAAAGAGAATTTCCTTGACACTTGACAATTGTGGTAATTTAATATCACTCACATCATTAATGCATCAGATGTTTTCAATAATTTAGTATTACTCATGAAGAATTTGAAAGGGGACAACATTTTTTTTACTTATTCAATTTCCAAAATATGTGAGAATGAAGCACATAAGAATTCAGCATTTTTGTCAGCATATTAACTCAAAGAGAATAATGACAGAACGCCTTATAAGCATCAATTTGATTGCTATATGATTGTACATGTAAGCATGCACAGCCACGCATTCCAGTCAAGTCTAGTTTTGGTTTTTGTTTTTTGCAAATTGAATACAATAATTTAAAGGACTCATTGTTGTAAGATAAGATTTAGGCATTCTCATTTAGACCCACATTCACTCTATACGTGGAGAAAAGCATATTGTGCTCGCAAATCTCTCTACAAATTATTGAGTTCAAGCATGACTATCTCATCGAGGAAAATATATTAATTCAACTGGCCGGGAGTGCAATTATATATCATTGTATATGGAGCAAAATGGAGATGGAGCCATAAAACCCTACAGCAATTTATAAGAGTCAATGAAATTCAAGACTCAACAAAAACATATAATCCACGTATTGTGAGAAGTAAATAAAAGTGAACGAATGAAGAAAAAGTGAATAAGTCTAAATCATAGTCCCTCTTATTTGTTGAGTCTAAACTGAAATAGGAAACAACCTCTCCTAGAAATTCAAAGCAAATGAAGTTGTTTAAATGTTCTACTATTTATAACGTCGAAGCAAGAATTGCTCTTTCTGTGAAGAATTGAGATTTACAATAATTCTTAGATAAGATATATATATATATATATATATATATATATATATATATGGTCAACAATTCTTCTTATATCAACGACAGATTTACCAAAAAGTGAATCACCTAAATTTCCATCGCCAACATTAAGAAGCCATTCTAAGAATTTCTTTATCCTTTTCCTTCTCCCTGTCTAAGGTAGTTGAATTTAATCTCATGTTTTTCATCAACTTTAATATCTTGCAATGATACCATAGATATGATGGGTTTATTATTGCATTAACAATATCAGCTCTGTCCCCACAAGGTATTACAAGGAGAATTTGATGGAAATCTCCTCCAAACATGGCAGCATTCCCTCCAAAACTTATGTTATCATGCATTATATCTTCTAAGGTTCTGTCAAATGCCTCTACACGATATTTTTTAATCATTGGAGCTTCAACCCACACAATCAGGTCGGTATTTTGTATAAGAGCAGCAATATCAAATCCATATACATGATATTGCAAGTGGAGTCTTCAATTACATTTATTGGAATATAAAACCTTGAATGAGCTATTGTCTCGAAAGAAAGTAATGTTGCTACAATATCATTTGAAGCTACATTCAACACAATCTTTTTTTCATAGATTTTATGGAGGTAGTGAGAGCATTCCACAAAAAAGTCTTTCCAGTTCCTCCAAAGAGAAAAATAAACTTTCTTTTGAGTTCACTAGTGCAATTATTTTATCATATATTTCTTTCTGCTCATTTGCAAGCTTCTGGTCAAATGTGGATCTCTTATTGATGTATATTTGAGCATCAAAGTTTAATCTTCCATTATCATGTTGTTAATGCTATCATAAAGAATTATAGAATTATGAGCTTTTAATTTATATATATATTTCACGAACTAAATAGAGAAGAATTAAAAATGTCATTTTTAATTTATATATTTCATGAACTAAATTTTATCTCTTGGTTAATGAGTTTTTTTAGGAAAATACGATAAAAAAAATTTCTTAAAATATGCAAATGACAATGAGATCCTATGAAATATCATAATTATTCTCAAGTCCGCAAGAATCTTTCTGATATTAATAATTTTTTATGAAATGATTCAAAAATATCTCTAGTTTTAAATATAAAAAAGTGACAACTCTAGTCACAACAAAAGTAAATATCAATAACTAGTTTGAGTGATAACTACTTTTCTTTAAGTAATGACTAAAACAGAATAAGCAATTACAATTTTCCTATGCAAATTCTTGATTCACTAAAATCTAAGTGTTATAAATATTCATGACTACTTTGTTTTAAGTAAAGACTACTTTTTTTTTTTTCTAGAAATGACTACTTTGTTTTAAGTAAAGACTACTTTTTTTTCCAAAAATAACTAAAATAAAATAAGTAATTATAACTTTCCTTAAAATGGAACAAACAATTACAGCTTCCCTTGTGCAAATTTGTGATTCACTAAAATAAAAGTGTTGTATAAATCTATGACTATTTTAATTTAAGTAATGACTATTATTCTTCTAACAATGACTAAAACAGAACAAATACTAACTACTTTTAGTTTAAACTGGAGGTACTTTAGTCATTTAACTAAATTATTAATGTCAGAAAGATTTCTAAGTACTTAAGAAAAATTATAACATTTTGCAGGACCTCATTGTCATTTGCTTTTTTTAGGAAAATTTTTTTATTATTTCCCCTTTTCTTCATCCTTTATCTTGCTTTCAAATTTTTTTTTAATATATATACATCTTGTAACTTGTATAGGAAAGCTTTGACCAGAATCATGTGATTTTCCATCAAGTATAAGAGTAAATATCAATCAAAGGCTTCTAAAGTAAATTTATAGCTAAAAAAAAAAAGATTCAAAAGAATTTAAATTATCACTATAGGATCAGAGGACTAAAGTGCAAATAAGTTTAAGCATGAAATGATAATAATAATATCCTTACTTTTTTTATTAAACCAAAAAAAAAGTCACTCCACTATCACCAACGCTAGCCATCGGATTGCCACCGAAGACCTTACTAGCAGCATAGTCACTAAAGCCCCTACCATTAACAAAGTCATTGATAGCTGATCACCAAGCTCTAACGTCAATGATAATTTTTTTAAATAATTGATATAGGTAGCCAAGGAGGGTCAAGGGTCACCTAGAAAGCCCGGTGGCCATCAAGCTCGTTTAATCTTATATGGCAATGTGTGTGCGTGCGTGCGTGCGAGTGTGTGTTTAGTTGCACAAACTTCTAACCCAAAATTTTGTAAGTGTTAATCCTTTATTAACAAGTATCCATTCAAATTTTAACAACAACTAATTTGAAATTAACAATAATCCATTCAGACTTAACAAGTTAGGAAAACTAATAGGATCAGCTTAATTGTAGAAATATTAATCATTCATCAATAAATATTCATTCGGGTTTTAACAATAACTAATTTGAAATTAACAATCATCCATTCAAATCTTAACAAGTTAGAAAAACTAATAGGATAAGTTTAATTGTACAAATGTCAGTCTTTCATTAATAAATAGCCATTATGGTTTTAACAACTCATTTAAAATTAACAAGGCTTGAACAAGTTAGAAAAAATGATAGGATGAGCTTAATTGTGCAAGTATTAGTCATTCATCAACAACTATCTATTTAAATTTTGGCAACAAGCCATTCAAAATTAATAACAAGTTATTTGAGTTTTAACAAGTTAAAAAAATGACAAGACATGTGTATTGAAATAAGTGTTCACTTTGCATAAATAACATGCTGTTTGGGTTTTGATAACAAGTCATTCATAATTAACAAGTGATTTATTCCATGAGACTTGTGCAGTCAGTTTTTCTATCTTGTTAAAAATCAAATGTATCGCTGTTAATCACAAATGAGTTGTCAAAACTCAAATGGTTTGTTATTTATACAGGGTGAACACACTCCATTAGACCTGTACTGCCAGTTTTTTTAACTTATTAAAGTTCGAATAGATTGTTGTTAATTTTAAATGTTTCAATGTTAAAATATAAATGAATACTTATTGATAAATGATTAATACTTGTACAATTAAACTTATCTTATTAATTTTTTTAACTTGTTAAAACCCGAATAAATTATCATTAATTTTGAATGAATTGTTAAAATTTAAATAGATATTCATTAATGAAAGATTAATATTTGTATAAACTTAAGCTATATATATATATATATATATACACACACATATTTTTTTAACATGTATGATTAAATTAGCTTGATATTTACTGAGCTTTTTAAGTGGCAGTCATGGGATTGAACTTTCCCTCGATTACCTTCACCAATTATTCACACTCAAACTTATTTGCATTCTAATCCCCAATCTTTAGTAATAATTCAGATTCGTTTAATCTTTTTTTTGGCTATAAATTTGTTTCAGAGATCCTTGAGATATATTTTCCCCAGATACAACCCCCTTGGTTAGACTTTGCATTCGCACCATAAAAGCCACTTCCTGAAATCAATAAAGCCTGACTCATTCCCAAAACGACAACTTTAAATTAGACTTGTCAAGTCAATCAAGCCAATGTAGCCCCTTTATCATTTGTCAATCTATATAAAAACAAAAAAGCATATTAAAAAAAAGAAAAACGAAAAAAGGACCGAAAGTCCAGTTACACAGTCAAAGTCTTCTTTAAAGTTGAGACGTTGCATTCGTGTGCAGATAACACCCTAACATGTTTCGCTTCATTAGTAAAATCACAGACTGGTTAACAACACAAATTACTTAAATTGAAAGAATTCATTGCCCAGGTTATGGAAAAACCAAAGAACTAGTCTGCACAAGACACATAATAATAATAATAATAATAATAAAGTACTTATGTCCAGTTTAGCCCAAGAACTATACAAAACATGCTTAAATATTTATGTGTAATCAACTTGGTCTCTGTCTCTTTGATAAACCAGAACTACCCAGAACAATTTCAGCTCGTACGATTCAAGTATGGTATGAACTTATTGACTGATCTGCATAGGCACACAAAAATATTCACAAGAGTTTCGCTATATTGCCTACTCAGGGCAATATTGGAGCCTCATGAATAGTTTTAAATGCCGCAGGAGACAAGTTCCTAGGCATCTATTGAAGTTCAGCCCAGATTTTACCAAATAAAATGAGGCCAAATGCAGAATTACCAGAAAAAATAGCAATTAAATAAAGCATATACCTCTAATGAGTTGACTTTCTCCAATGGCATGGCACAGCCATGAACAGACAACAAGTTTATCAAGATCCAAAATCATTCTTGAATATAGCAGCTAAAAGCACGAGACTTTACTGCTAAAATTGTGCTTTATGGTAGAAGAACTAGTAGAAGTCAGATAACCTGAATGCAAATTTCTACCTACATGAAATTGTGTACTTATACATCGAAACTCTTTGCCACTGAGCTGAAAATATTTCTTAACTCCTCCTTTACTCCGTTATCTGCGAATACAAACTCGACAGAATTCTTTGACAGCTCAAACATTTCTTTCTTTCCGAGCCCTAAGTAATAGCCAAACCAAGCAAACAGTCAGAAAAGTGACTTTGCTTGAACGCATTTATCTGCAACAGTAAAGTATAACACACCAAATGTAGAAGCAGCAATTCGGTATTCGTTGGAGAGACTGGTAGAGAACACACCAGTGTCATCAGTACACAGGACTACAGGGTGTTTTGCGTTATACAAATCAACTGCATCAACAGGAGCATCATGTTAAGAAAAAGCTATTTAGAGTTTATTCATTAAAAAATTAAAGAAATTAAAAAAGCCAAGTTCTAACTGCATGAACTAATTAGCAGATTAGCTATTTTAGATTGTTTGAACTCAAATCTTTTTAAAAAAGCTAAGATTGCTGACTCGTTGAGGGGGAAAGAAAGCAAGAAAGTGGATAAAAACAAAAAAGGATAAGCAGATTGTTTTGGAAGGTTCTTTGATTTTCTACATAAGTACTTTTTCCATTCAATTAAAAAGGTATTTTTCACACACATGCACACACACAAAGTAAAAGTTATACTTATGTTTTACAAATGTTGAGAATCAATCTCGCAAAATGATTATGTGTAGCTTAGCCTAGCCTCTGGATTTCTTAAAACTAATTCTCATCTTTAATTTTCATCCTCTGGATTGTTTGGAAAGATTTATTTTTTTATTTACCACACAAAATGTCGCTAAATATCTCCTAGAAACGACTCTGATGATACAAAGTTATCATTTATATACCCTTCTTGTAATATGACAAAAAAGTGAATTTCCCTGGCAACAGCAACAGAAAATCAGAACTTTACAAATACCATTTCCAAATAATATCTGACTTTTATAGAACTAATCTATCCAAAATCAGTTACCAAGTGATTCTGCCAATATCTCCCAGTAATCCCAAACACATTTGATAAGTTGAATAGACAGTTGTTTCCTTTATTAATTCAAAATTAAAGATCATCATCTTCTGATATAAACAAGTCAACCTACCAAAATGGTGAACATCTAATGATGGAACAGAAAATGTCCTTAGGTTTGAAGTCAAACAAATTTCAACCTGAAATGGAAATGATACAAGTAATGATTAACTTGAATCCTTATGAACAGCAAAATGACAGTGTTACACAAGGCACTGAAAATTAGCAAAAGCCCTAAGTGAATGATCAGTAAAAACAGCCAGTCATAGTTTCCAATTTCCTACGGAAAAAATTAGACATTAACCTTCAGACAAATATTATGAGTCTGCAAAACCTTTAAAAGGATTGCCTGTAAGGAACTTCTGAAATTTGAGAGTTTAACCAACATGTATTAAAGTATTTCTCTTAAAGTAAAACATGTTGCAAAATCTAACCGGGATGTTGTAGGATTTTAGTTGTTTCCACTCTTCCTCATCCAAGAAAATAGCATGTCCAATCCTTTGGGGAAGAAAGTTAAGCATGTCCCTTATCTCCTCCTTTGAATTAGGTACCTAAAAACACTAAGTCGAAAAAATGAAGGAGTCAGATAAACTCCAATAATACTAGGTGAAAGATATAGATGAACGCACCTCTCCACAATGGAGGGTTATATGAAGACCTTGTTCTCGAGCAAATTTCAATGCTGGCAAATATGTAATCCTACAAGAGATAAAAAAAGAGTTTTAAGCTTAACTATCATTTCAAAAGATACAAATACTCCTCTAGAGAGGTTCGAGTTGGTCTACCATTCACCAACAACTGGATTTCCAGATAGGTCTATTCCAACCACCCCTAAATGCCTCGTTTCCAGTGCAAGCAAGACCTGAAACAAAGAAATGGAGTATATTATCAGTACCCCCAAAAGACTAAAAATTTGCTCAGATAACACAGAGTTTCAGCTTACAGTTTCCATTGCTGCCGCTGTTGTCTCCCGGCGGTCAATGCTCAGCAGAAGCCTAACAACAATTCTTTTTCTAGCATTTAGATTGTACCTATTATTCATTGCTGGGGTCAGAAAATTTACAAGTCTTTCAGAATTCTCATTGCCAGGCATGAAATCCACATCAACTGAGCTGACAGCTCTCAGGCCTTTCAGGACAGCTTCAACATAAGAGCGTTTGCTCATTCCAATTGAATCATTTGCCTGAAGGGAATTCATAAAACATTTTTCATCACCCAATAAAATCAACAGATATAAGTACAGCCCAAACTCAGAAGGGAGCCCCTTGCATTACCTTCGGAGTAGTTCTCAACTCTAGGTATACAACATTCTCTGCTGCAAAATCTTCAATAACCTGCACTTGGATGATTCTTATATGAATGCAAAGGAAATAAATTTGGTGTTATAACTTATTCAAAAAACAAGCAACCATACTTCTTTGGTGATTCTTGTAACTGTCATGTGATCAGTTGTAATATGGTGGATTAGGTCAAACAACTCAAATACTTCCCGCAATGAACGATCCTCTGTATTTACAAAGCCATAAACAACACCAGCATTGTGTTTTTCAACATCAATAGGTAAATATGGATCATTAAAAGTGAAGTCAGGAAACAAATAAACAGCCAGAAGATTAGGGGCTTTCTGACAGAGGATTTTCTTTTCTTTTTTTTTGGTGGGGGGGGGATTATGCTTAGGAAAAAGTTGTTCCGAGAAGTAAATTTTCCAGACCATTGGTATTCAGAAACATAATCAAACGGTTCATCTCTTCAATCATCTTTTTAACTGATCTGTTTAACTGCCTTCAGGTGGTACAGACTTTGGAGCACATACTCTTGTCTTGTACATATAAAACAGTTAAGAAAGGAGGGGAGGGCACTATGAGTTCCCTTCAATATCAGCCTAGACCGTGGCAGAGTCTGATAAAATGATGAGTAAAAAGGAGGCAGACATATTAGCACTTGGTAATCTAACAATTTGGTCCAGACCTACTTATCTTTAGTCCTTAAATATTAGTGGGCGCATCAATTAGTCCCAAAAAATGAGGAATTAGCCCTTCCCTATTTTTCAGACGAATGGGTGCACTCAGTAAAGCTGCATCGGCCAGAGGACAATCTAGGTATGAAATTATTAGTTTATCCCAGTAGCACTCTCTTATTTTCCAGGTTTTTTTTTTCTTTTCTCGGAAAATAAACAGAACAGATAAACGACCAAGAAAAGAACAATGGTTGGGCATACTTTTGAGGATGACATGTTCAAGTTCCGAGAAATCTACGACACCCTTCTCACCTAAAGCTTGAGCAAGTTCTCTGCAAAATGAGAAAGAAAGAAAAATTGAACCCAAGCAATTAAGGAGTCCATGGAAATTGAAAGAAAGAAAGAAAGAAACTTACAGAAGCGTGGAGTGCCTAATGGATCCATTGAGGTGAGCATGCAGTTCCACCTTTGGCATTGAGACCCACCAATCCATCTCTTTCCTCTTCTTCTCTTCCTCTCACTAATCTCCTCACTGGGTCGACAGATTCTTCAATGTTTTGTACTGACCTCAATCGTCAACTCCAGACCGGACGCTAGAGGATGTGTTTGCTTCGCTTATTTGCGTAGGGGTCGTGCAAACGGAATGCTGCAAGTCTTTTCCGTCCGAACCCCAACTTCTCGTGGAAAATGAGCTTTCTTTTTTCCCTTTTCTTTTTCTTTTTTTTTGGCTTTTTTCCTTTTGAAGAAATCAATGACACTCAAGTCAAACTTTGCAGAATCAAAATAAAGATTTTGTTTTTGTGAGAATTAGTCGAACCCCACCGAGGTTCCTCCACTGAGCCCACCAAAAGAATCAAGTTGGGTTAAAGAAAGACAAAAAGATCACGAAATTAAGAAAAGTGCCATACATATAATTTATAAATGATAATATAACTTTGGTATTTTATAATGATGTTATTTTGATGAAGCGTTGTGAGTGGGAAACAGAGAAGAGTTGAGGAATGACTTGCGGATGTGACAAGGGGGTGTGTTGGAAGCAAAGTTGTCCGGATCACAAGTTGAACCGCACTATTTCAAAAAATAGATTGTCCAGCATCGAAGAATTTTACTTTCCATCTCCTGTGTTTTTGTTTACTCCAGATTGATTGGACGCCTCATCAAGTTGCTTCCTTCCTCAACTTTCACTTTTTTTGACCAGTTTTTCCTCAAATGCTTTTCAATTAACAGCAATTTAAATGTTTAATGCCTACGGATGACCATTTTAATTCCATACCCCTTAGTACTATCTATAAATTATTTCTGACATATTTTATTATAATTAAAAAATTTTAATATTTATTAATTCTGTGGTAAAATTTAAGGAGTTTACACATCTATTCTTAATAAATATAAAGAATATTTTTTAGTATTTAATAAGGGTAAGAAAATAAAGATGAATATAAAAATAATAAAGCATCTTATAAATATGATTAAAATTAATTTTTTAATAGGATTAGAGAATTGTGTTTTTTTTTATTTTCAAAAAGTGATCAACCAACCATATTCAATTAACGTTTTATAACACTTATCTATAAGGCATTAAAACCTCATATCAGTATTTAAACAATCAGAAATAAACTCAGGTGGGCTTATGAAGAGCACTACATCCATCATTTGCTTCAGAGCTTCCATCGCCAGGGAGTCAGCAACTTTATTAGCCTCTTCGCTGCACCAAAAAAAATTGACATGTAGTCTTCCTCTTAAACCCTAAATCTCTTCAATGATGTCTCGATCAGGATGGTTATAATATTCATCAATCTATGACATAATGATAGCCTCCACACAGTCCGTCTCTATTTAAATGTTTCTCCAGCCTATATCCCAAGCTCTTTTGAGTGCCCATAATATACCCCATAACTCAGCATTCAAAATGCTACCCAGGCCAATATGGTAAATAAAGCCACCAAAACCTTCGCTGTATGGTCCCTAGAAACTCCACCGCCCAATCACCTTACCATCAACTCCACTAGCTCTATCCGTATTAAATTTTACAACTTCTATCGTTGGCACTCTCCATCTTCGTTCATCTCTATAAACTCTTTAAGCAAAATATTAGGTTTGGACTAAGACACCAAAGCCTACACTTAAGCTAATACTGCCAAAGCCCCATTGTTCTTCTGTTGAAAAACACATAGATTTCTACAAATCTAAAGTTGTCGACAACAAACAAGGAACTAAATGCCCCGCCGACAACCCTTAAAGAGAATCATTTGAGATAGGTTCCACTCAATCCATTCAATAACATTATCAAATGCATTAAACTCTAGTTTCAACTCCTTTAGAATCAGCCTAATCCAGTAATTGAAAGCTAACTTACAATCATAAAGGACATGCGTATAATTTGGTCATAAAGAGCATTTATCATTAGCTGACAAGCCTCTATTAGCCCGAAAGGAATTCGTTATGAGTCTACCTCTAGTGCACAACCACATAAAAGTTTTGTTTCGCTAGGCACTTGTGCTTTCCAAACTTTCCTCCGTAAACCTTTACGTGAATTACAACTATATTATAAGTAGACTTTATATTAAACTCTCCATCATTTGACCACCTCTATCTTGGGTTATTATCTCTGTGATTTCTTCTAATACAATAGATTTCTCTAAGCACACCCACAGGCAAATACTCATTAAATTTATCTCTAATCCATCTTCTAAAAGATGACAAGTAGTTCTTGACTAAATCACAAATCTCCTCTGGTACCTGTTTAACAACATAAGTCAACAAATTGTCATAGTGAGGTAACCAGCAATCCTTCCAAAATTTAATTTTATTTCCTCTACCAATCTACTAAGCAAGACTGTTCATAGTGTCTATCCAAGCTTCAAGAATACCTTTCCATGTACTTAATCCACTTCTACGGGCTTCTATTTTTGGAATAACATCTTCCCCACATTTGTATTTTTCTCTCATAAAGCATCATAGTGATGTATCAAACCCTAACCAAATTTCATCATAAAAGCCTTATTTTGTCTCTTGGCCATTCTCAAACCTAGACCTCTATCATCTTTTCTTTTGCACACATCATTCCAGGCTACGAGATGGAGTTTTCTTTGTGAGTTGGATCCTCTTGAAAGAAATTTACAACGCTTCTTATTTATCTCATTGCAAGTATGGGCAGATAATAGTGTTCATTGAATAGAGTAGGAGGGAATAGCAGCAACTATAAAAGAGACTAACGTATGTCTAATAGCTAAATATAAAGAGTAAGCTTTCTAAGTAGACAGACGACTATCCATCTTATTTAGCACATGTTGATATGTAGATTTAATGACTCTCTTATGGTTTAAGGGAACGCCTAAATATTTATGCAAATCCATAGTACAAGTGAAATTCAAGAAGTGATTAATTTCATCTACTTGTGTATGGCCCACATTCTCAAAAAAGAAAATTTGAGATTTAGCACTATTTACCTTCTCACCAAAAATGTGGCAAAAATCTTCAAGGCAAGCCTTAAGCATGCCTGATTAGTCCATACTAGCCTTAGCAAAGGTCAACAAATCATCCGCAAAGAAATTATGTGAAATACCAACCCTATTCTTTTTTTAATATAAAAGGCAATCAATTTTCATTCTCTACTTCACCTTGAATCATGTGACCTAATTTCTCCATAGCTAAAACAAACAAGTATGGAGAAATAGGATCTCCTTTTCTTAGTCCTTTAGAAGGAAAAATTTTTTCCCCTCTCTCCCAATTCCATAACACTTGCATTGCAGCAATAGAAAGGCAATAATCAATTCAACAAACCTTGCAAGAATATTAAGTTCATCAAGCCACTAAATCACAAAACTCCATTTAATTCTATCATAATTTTTCTCCTAGTCAATCTTCAATGCCACAAAGCCACGCTTAACTTAACACTTACAAAAGGAGTGAATTATTTTCTAAGCCTCAATGATGTTATCAATACTTTACCTCTAAGGAACAAAGCCTCAAGTATCCTAATGGCTACAGTTTTCCCTAACATGTGACCTATTTTTAGAAGTGGCTTTTGATTTCATGTTGTCTTTATTTCTTATATGAAATCCTCTCTTAAATTCTTAAAAATGGTGTGATACTGCCAAACTTGACATTCAGTTAAGAATTATCGCTTTGGAAACTTGCTTTTGTTTAACATAAGATTGGGCTTTCTTTTGGAAGCAAAGATAATGCTATTTTTTTAATTATTTTATTAAGTGCACTGAGGCTTTCTAGGAGGTTTGATTTAGGTAGAGTCATGAGAATTGAAATTGTGTTGTTAATGAAATGAGGCCCAACGCAAATTGGTTCTAAATGGCTTTGAATATAAGGCGTGCATTAGAGTATTTTATTTTATAGTTATTGCATCATATATTAGCTTGGTCTTCATATTATTCATACCACTTCATCAATCTAGAGTTGCTTCTAAAGGTAAGCCATTTTCGTATAGGCATGAAATTTCAAATTTACATGTCATGCACATTTGGTAGAGCTATTAGTAGTCATGTTAATATCAGAGTTTGTGTTTACTCTTCACACCACTCTTTCAAAGTTTCCCTTATGAGATTTTAAGAATCTCTACAAGCATTTTGAATTATCTCATATCATGTAAATGAATAAGGTTTTGCAGGCAAAGGGACCAAACTCGTATATATTAACGAAGTTCCAATGGCACATTATTTAAATTAATTTTTTTCTTTTAAATTTTAAAAATCAATAAAATATTTAACAATATCATGTGAGATTTAAAAAATCTCTACAAATGCTTGAATTAATTGCCTCATCTTGTGGGATAATAAATTCTCGCAAATATCATGATTCTTAATTTATATGATAAATAAATAAATTTTGTAAATAAAATAATAAATAATTTTAATAAAATTAATTAATTAAATTAATATGTTTGCATAATAACCATTACATATTTTGGTTATATGAGATTTTTGAATATCTATAGATCTTTAAAATAATTATTTTACCATGTAAGTCAATAAGGCTTCGTAGGCATAACAATTAAGATTCTTATATTTAAAAATATACATTGTATAATTATAAATTAAAATATATTTAAAAAATATATTATTTAATCCTTTGTTGTGCAAGAATTTTGAATCTCCACAAATATTTAAGATAATCTTATTACTATATAAGTCAATAAGGTTTTACAAGTATGACGATTAAGATTCTTTAAAAATATATATATACACGCTTAAAAAATTATTATTAATACATAAGAATATAAATAAATAAATAAAGTTGTTAAGCTCTTTTATCGTGTGAGATTTTAGAATCTCCGCAGATATTTAGAATAATTGAATTATCTTATGAACTAATAAGGCTCTACAAATATAACGGTTAAATTTTAAATAATAAAATATTAAAGAAATATATTTAAACTTTTTACCTTTTTTATTTCAAAATTTCAAAATTTGAAAAAATAATTAAATTAAATTACTTTTTACAATTTAAAATGTACATATCAAAACTTCAAAAAATTATTTTATTTGCAAAATAGTAAATTATTTTTAATTAATTTCTCTTAAAAAAATACTTTCACCAACAAACTTTTAATTCCAAATTACGTGAATTTTGATTTCCATCACAGGGTACATAGGTTTTAGAGTCTGATTCTAAGTCCTCCATTATAAATAAATAAATATTTCTCACTTAACTATCATTATTTTTTATCCAACATGTGAATAAGAAAGGAAT